ATGTTTGCAGCTGACAGGTTAGCTTTAAATGAGCTCTGGCTTCAGTGAGACAAAAGTTGTCTCAGAAAAAAAGGTGGAGAGCAATAGAGGAAGACACCAATTGCTGACCTCCATATACACATGCAACACTAACAGAAACATATGCACCAAAAGGCACACACAACGCACATGCGAAAGTTTAGTTAAATAAAAGGGAAACATTCTATGAATTCACTATACAACATGTTGACTATGGTAAGTGATATGTTTCAGCTTTTTAAATTTGCCAAGGAATAGATTTTAAATGGTCTTATCACAAAATTTATGGGAAATTTTGTCATTCCACAATATGTGTGTGTGTGTATTTATAATTGTTATTTGTCAACTAAAAACAAACAAATAAAGCCTGAAGTTTGGTTATAACCTGAAGAGGGACATTTCCATCGTCTCCAAAGACACTTAATATCTCTGAAGACTATAGAGAGAAAGCAGCCAGCTCTCTGAGTCTGTTGAATTCACTGCTGACACTGATGAACCACTGGTTGTGAACGAAGTTTTCATGGCATCTTGCATGTGGGCTTGGAGAGCTGAGCACACTGGGGTGAGAAGGGAGTATTTTCATTAGGAGAAAAGAGTAATTCTTCCCTTAGCTATAAATTTGAAGCATTTGAGTTTGTAGATAATATAACGGCAAGCATACTGGGAGTGGGGGTAGAATTTGAGATTATACACTGAAGGATATTCACTGGGCATATAGAAAACTTAGCTATGAGTGGAAAAGGACAGAAGTTTCATTCACTTTCTTGGGAAAATGTTTAGAGCAAAGAAAGTCAGGGCTTTAATTAGCTTAGTGGATAAGAAAAGAGGAAAGACAAGAAAAGGAGAATATAGAGTTCAGGAATTTAGAGAAGTGACCATGCATAGTGTGTAGTAGGTTCAGGCTAGCAAGCCTTACCCAATATGAAGGCCCCCAGATATGAGTCTAGGGACCTCCACATACAGATGGTATAAGAATATGACACAATCCTCAATCAGAAAACAAGAGCTTCTTAAGTGTCTGGCACTTCATGTCCAGGAACATGCTTAATTCTTCTCCCTGGGACCCTGGAAACCAGGCATCAATACCATCCTCTCCCTTGGATACAGAAATGTCATTTAACTAGCTTGGTAGGCTTTTCAGGATGAACAGGGACTATTTGAAGAAAAGGAGTATGAAGAACTCCTCTCATTCCATTGCTCAAGTTTTGTGTTAGAAAGTACTTTACCACAGAAACATGCTTCTCTGATGCCACTACAGCTTGAAGCTGTTATGAACAAAATGAGAAATGGTTAGTGTAGTGATATAATGTGTACCTTAATAAAATTTACCTGAAGATCAGAGGACAGAACAAGCCATTAGATTAAACATAGAGGCCAGGCAGTGGTGGCACACACCTTTAATCTTAGCACTCAGGAGACAGATTCATCTGGATCTCTGTGAGTTCAAAGCCACTCTGAACTACATGAGATTGACTCAGTCTAGGAGAGAAAACATAGCCAGGCAGTGGTGACACACATCTTTAATCCCAGTACTGGGAAGCACACACGCCTTTAATCCCAGGAAATGATGGCCGGGCAGAGAAAGGTATATAAGGTGTGAGGAGACAGGAACTAAAGGCTTTCTGGCAGAAGTGTCCCTTTTAGTTAGAGGCCTTTTCAGCCTCAAAATCTTTATCAAGCCTCACAGTAAAACAGCCTTTTCTAGGTTGGACATGCCTATTGCTGTCTTGGAGCTGAGAGGCTGTAACCATCCATAAGAGAACCTCATAAGATCACAGTTATTAACATTCCCTACAGAAGAAAGTCATGGCTCATGAGATCTTCATCTGGCCTTCTTCTTCAGATTCCAATGATCACTGTCGATAATGTAAGCAGTTGTTTGGGGTGGGATTTCTTGGTGGGGTAACTGTCCATCAAGTCGCTCAAGCTATCTCCCAGCAGTGTAGCTGCCCTCTGAGTCAACCCTGTCCCTATAAGTAACCACTGAAAACTCACATGTTCACTTTTCTGGACTTGAATGGAATTCTTTCTTTGGTTTGTGGATGATCTAACTAGGGGTATTAATCCATTCCTTATGTTTTCTCAGGGAAAAAAAAATCACCCAACCTGCAACAACTATGCTCTCTATTTGGTGATCTAGATTTTCCCAGATAATTAAAGCAGCTCCAAGTAGCTGACACCCTTGCATGCAGAATTTTTTCCCAGAAATGGGAAAATCATACACACATACATACATGTATACATATATGCACATATGTGTATATATATATATATATATATATATATATATATATATATGCAACAGGGACAGAGTTACTGTTTTGTGATGCTTGTCTGACTAAGAACTGCTTACTGAATTTATAAGGTTACAGATTTAATATGCTTATCAACAAGAATGTTTTGCCACTAATATTTTTAACAATAGACACCATCCTGAGATTATTTGTTTGAAATTTGTGTAATCAAAGGGTTTGTGGAGGAATTTCCTGCATTTGTTAAGGAGTTGGGCTAGATAACTCTGAAGTTCTTTTAGCAGTAAGATGCTAAAAGGCTTCATGTTACAATGTTTTCATTAACAAACACACAGTATTTACTCCAGTATTAGGAGATGAACAATGGAGAATAGCTGCCCAAGAGGATTAAAAATAAAACTGTCACACAGGCTTCAACATCTTATTAGGATCCAAGCACTTGAATCTTCTGATTTAAAAGGAGAATTACGAGCTTTGCTGTCACATCAACAGGAAATGTCATTCTCTTTCATGTCTGGTTGCTATCTTTGCTTTTGATCAGTGTTGACTTTTCTGGTTTAGTTGACTTGTTTTCGTTTTTATTTTGCGATCTGCCTATAGCTCAAAGCTTAAAAACATATCAACATATGGGATGAGAAGGATTTCACATGTGATTAGGAATTTTCTGTGCCATCATTAGGGAAAACTCAGGAAGCCATACATGGTATCATATTTAAGACAGTGTCTCTTTATGCACCCACATCTGAACTCAAACCCATAATGTAGACCACATTGACCTTAAACTGTTAGTTCCCAAGTACTGTGATAATATTAGTATATTCTTCCACAGTACTAGAGAAACAGAGCAGGAGAATGACTAACAGTTCAAGGTCAAAATGGTCTACATTTTGGGTTCTAGTTCAGATGTAGGTGCATAAAGAGACTCATGTCACCCAGACTAGCTATTTTACACCTTAAAAAAATAGTTAATTCCAAAAATTAAATTTGATAGCACTGTGGAATAACAGAGGTCCTGTCAATGTTTAGAAATTGTTCATTAAGCTTAAGTACTTGAGTCAAACAAGGGCTGATCTGAAACAGCCACATGACAATGACAGATGAAGCCACTGGGCAGATTCACTCAATAGTGGATGCTTTGATATGGGTCAACTTTAAAAGATCAACATGTAAAATCGTTAATCTTTATTACATCATTACACAGAAGAGAATGGGCCTGGCCCTAAATCATCTTGACCCTGCTTCTTCCTCATGCCAGCCCATTCTAACATACCATCTCTGACCTCAGCTGCATCACTAGCCGGAGACTGGGCTCATCGACAGAGTGAGGCCCAGGGGTGGAACACAGTTATCAAAGAGCAAAATCCATGGCAGCAACATATCAAAGTTGATAATTATTCTAGAACTACCTTTTTTTTTTATTCTACCTTCCCCACTACAAACTTACAATTGGCTGGAATTTTTCTCAAATCTGAGAACAAAGTGGGTGTTTGTGGATCTGAGTCATTTGTTGCAATATCACTCTGAGTTCAGCTATTAAATCAAGTCACTCTTTACACCAGAATTTCCTTCTTCTTGAAATTGGAGCTAATAACAATTATCTCTGTGTATTTGTAGTCCCTATGTGCCAGGTACCATATAATCAGAGATTGTATACTATCTTGGGACCAATACTGTTAAAGGCTTTTCTGAAGGAAGTGGAGAGAAGCTGAAAAACTAGGAAAGGTCACTCTCGTTGAGTAGCCAATTTTGACTGGATGCTAAGCTCTCAGAAGCTCTGTAGACACTATATCACCCTCCTGTGAGTTCTCAGGATGATTCAAAGACTCACAGGAGTCAAAGAGAGCTTTGGGAAGGCAGAGATTCATGTTCTTTATAAATAAGATACTTATGGCCAAATCTATGATCCCGCACCTATATAATCTTGGAATCACCACACAGTCAAACTGTACTTTTTCTAATTGTGTCTTTTCTGCTAGTGAAATGAAAACTTGCAAACATGGGATTGCCTGAGTGTTATGTACTCTATAGCATCAGTTGAAATAAAATAAGGAATGGAAGTAATTAATGGAAGAAAAACATTAAATTTTAGAAAGCCTGGTGATTTTTTTATCCCTTTCAGATTCTCATATTTAGGGGGTAGGATGTTACTCTTCACTAAAGACCTTTCAGTAGATACTTTCTACATAACTTCTAATAATAATCTGTCCCCATATTTTTAGTTGTGAAGAAGTAATTATGACAAAAATCACTGCAGAAGCATGACTTGTCTCACAGTTTCAAATCCTTCATATTCTTTTATTGTTACTCGGAGGCAGTGGAAGGTGACAAAGGCATATACAACATAGCTTTGTTTTATGAATGCCTGTTTGCACAGGAAATTAAAGACTCACTTCTTCCATACCAGCCACATCGAGAAGCAAACATGATGTTCCACTGGTAAAGTCGCTCCCCTTTTAGTCTCTTTGTCTGAATGTTGCTTCCCTTAAGAAATCTATAAATGGCACTTACATTCTTAGTCTGTTTGGTTCAACACTCCCTCGAGATGACACGAAAGGAAAAAAGAATTCCCAGTCATCGGCCTTGTCATAATAAAGCATGACTACATAGACCAGAAGATGCAGGTACCTATCAAAAGCCTCGACACAGAAAGAATGAGCTTAAGGGAATAGATGAGCAAGAAAATAGCCCAGACTTGGACCACTTTGTATACGACAGCAAGATCTTACTTACCTCAGTTATAGATCCAAACCCTGTGACCTTTTTATCTTCAATAGGACCGTAGCGAACACATCTCATTCTCTTTGCTCTGTGTCCTTCTAGTTCACTCTCTAAGGCTGTCAGCACCTACCACCATGGAGATGAGAAACCCCACAGCAGAATCTCGCTCTTTTTTGCCTTTCCGGACGCATTCAGCACAGACAAAAGCCAGAGTTCTCAGCATTTACTCGAGTGAATCGACACTTTCTTTAACTGGTTCCCATGCCTACTCATGGTAGAGATGCTTGCCAAAGGGGGCTGACAGAAAACAAGAAGCCAGGAGAAATATCCTTTCTCTATACTCATTTACAACTCAGTCTTTTGATTGCAGCTCTAGGAGCCTGTTAAATCACAAAATCTCTCAAATTACCAAGTGGCCACATGCTGCCCCCTAAACATCACATTGACCAAGAAGGCTGAATCCTCTCATGCTGACATCCCAGGGCTGGTACAACTTCATCCAAGTCTGATCTTCTTATGTGTGAGCTCTCTATTACTGTCACAGTAGAGTTTTCTGGGAAAACCCACACCCTGTCTGACAATGTAACCCTATACCAAAGGCAAACAGCCTCTTGCCCAACATCATTTCACATGGGCTCCAAGGTAGTAGGTGACCCTAGAAAAATTATCACCAACCTTGGTATTAATTTCAAGGACATTACATGTTCTTTGAGAAGCTGCTTTCATTGGTAGTTGTTTTCTTTACTTTAGGGATAAGAGAAAAAATGAGTCACTTACTCATTGTCCAGCTTTCATTCATTATGAAGGCTTATCATTTTGAATAATTAGTCATGAATATGTTCATTTTTCAAAGAAACAAGTGACTGCTAGTGAGTTCACTGAGAACTGAGAAGAGGAATTTTGATATGAGAGGCTTGATTTAGTAGTGGATTTTTGGCTGGGGTAAATTGAATACACTCTTTAACCAAATAGACATGCCAGGAGATAATAGTTCAGAAGTTCAGACTAGAACTTAAAACCAGAAGTTATTGCTATACATTTGGCAATTGCAGTCACAGGAAATGGAAGAGACCACACAAGAATTCAGACTAGTTAGAAGAGAGAAGGATTCCATGACTAAGGCTTGAGGTGAAAACCAATTTGGAGAGGATCCACAAAGGAGACTGAGAGAATTGCTTTACGTAGAACAAAAATGTAAGCTATAGTACACCACGAAAATTTGGCAGGGGCTAGGGAATGCCATTCCTGTTAGGTACAAAAGGTATTTAAAGATGACACCTCGGTATGGAGCACTGGTATTTGACAGTGAGATGCCACTGGTGACCTGGTGAAAAAATCATAACAATTTTGGAGACAGAGCCCTGATTAGATGACAAGCATGTAGTATGGTAGGTCTTAGAGAGAGGGGGCACCAAGCTTTCACAGGGCTCTGTGCACAAGTGGAGTAGACACTGGGGTGGATGGAAAGCCACATGGGAAAGATGAGGGCCTTGTTTGTTTGTTGGTTTGCCTTTAATAAATCCCTTGGCAATGTCATGCATGTCTATCAGTCTGTTTGAACATACACATCTCTATTACACTCTCACACTTGTTAAACCCCTTCTTCTCCCAACATTTCCCCTCCTTCTTTCATGTTTGTTTGTTTTTTTGTGACCCACTGAGTTTGATTTGGGACTGTTGGCATGAACACCATGAACACGGTGTGGGTGAGCAGCAAGTGGTAACACCTCCTTGTTCCAGTTAGACACGTGCTGCCAATGGCTGCTTAGGGATGGGCGGAGCTTCTCAGGCTATGGAGAGGTGCTAATTTGTCACTGAAAGTGTTTTCAGTTGATTAATTTTCTTAATTAAGTTGATGTCCTGACTCTTGTGTATCATTTGTTTTAAAACCAAGTTCTTTTGGAAAATAGAAAGAAGGTGTCATTATTTTCAAAATCATAGGGAGTGAGGGCAATGCTAATATTAGAACCACCACTGGATTCTCCTCATAAATCTGATGTTACTTGTTTAAATGATTGTGCAATAAGCAAATAATCCCCTCTATTATTTTATCTTAATGTTCTATCTCATAGAAAATACTATTTTTATTTCTTAAGTAATGATTATTTTTATACATGTAAAAAATAATATAAACCATAAAATATAAATCTCATAATTTGTCATAATCATTAAGATAATTATGTTATTGGTGTACAAATTAATCATCACCTTTCACAAAACCATATGCTCATTTAAAACATCGATTAGCATAGAGTCAGTGCTTAATGCCTATTTCTCAAAGGTCAGAATAACTATACAAATAAATAAAGCACTAAAAAGAGCTATAATTTCAATTGTTTACTGTGAAATTGGTCTGGTCACTTTGTAACTGAAAAAAATTAAAAGAGCTTAAAATATACACATTTATTTTGTTTACCATGTTAAACCTATATACATACATATATATACATATATATATATATATATATATATATGGAGAGAGAGAGAGAGATAGGGAGATGCACACGTTTGCAGTCTCTGTGTGTATACACCTATTTCATATAGCTCTTAGTAGAAGTAAATAAATTAATATTTTCAAAATAGTTAAGACAGTAGCAGACAAAGTAAATGTCAGAATCATTGTGAAATTATTCTAATTGGAGGACTAGGGAGAAGAATACCTACAAGAGTGTGGGTAAGTGGTTGAGAATAAACTGTTTTCTGTAGTGTAAGGATTGACAGAAAATGGTGGGGGAGGGGCAGGACTAAAAAACTTACACAGCAGAAGGAATGGACAGACAAGCATCAGGTATAATTAACGTTATGCAAATGAAACACATTGATCTTAGGAAAAAATGCCAATTATACTCTGGAAATGCTATGACAACTACATAATTTGTACATAGTAATTCTATTTTTAGAGAAATTTTTGTTTCCTTTGAGATAGAGTCTCATGAATAGTAGGCTGGGCTCAAATTTGCTATGGTACCTTAGACGACCTTGAACTTCTGATCCTGCTGCCTCCACTTTCCTAGTACAGGGATGGCAGGAGCATGGCACCACCACCTTCACCACTGTGAGTTTATGCAGTCCTGGAGACAGAACACAGGGCTTCCTTCGCAGCAAGTCGGCATGAATTCTACCAATTGACCTATACCCCCCAGCCCTCTGTTCTGGTAATTTAACGTAAGACAAATAAAAAACCTGTTTACTTTTACCCAGCACCATGTACATATGAATAATGGACATAAATGTTAACTTTAGCCTGATTTTCAATACTCAGTGAAAATGCTGAAGTTATTGCATCAGTCTCAGCCTCTGCTGAAACAGCCCCTTCTGACTGAAACAAATTGTGCAGGTACCATGTTTTGCTGGCCTGAGAACTTCCTGTTATTCTATCTGCAGGGCTATGCTAGGATGTGGAGGAAGTATTTAAAGTTCTCATCAGTAAACAGGGTGTCCCTCCTGAATGTCTTTCCCACTACTTAGGATCCTCTTGCCTGTTGTGCTTTTCCTGATACACTTCACTTCCGTTGGCCAGGCTATGCTGAAGTGAAGTACGTTATCCTGATAGATTTTAGCCTCAGAAATCATGCATAAGACACCGGTGAAATGTTTACTTCCTCTCAGATGAGCGACAACGTTTAATTTTAGAAAGGAACACTGAAGTGCCCCATGCATTTCTGGTTGGAGTTTTTATTTAAGAGTTTGCACATTTTTTTTTTAACTGTTGGTTAGTATCCCTCACTGCCAAATGCACACAGTATCAGGCAAAGACCTTATGAGAACTGACAAAATGATTGATCAGGGGATGACCTGAAATTATTCAACATATTCATATGGATCATGGGAATATTAGTACAAGAGTGGATCATCTGAGCTCCCTCTATAATGTCCCTCCCAAATGGCTTTCTGTGTCTGATTTATATAGTTCTCATAGACCAGGACTGCAGTGGTGCCCACGTGTTCTATTCTTGCTTTACGGTGACTCAACACAATTAAAGAGGAAGTCCTTCCTCAGACTCAGATAAAAATGTGCCTTCTTGTAGCCATCACAAACTTTCCTGTATCCACACTGTCCCCAAACTGCTGCAAAACAAGCCTTGCAGTACTTCTAATTCTCAGTTCTTCAGCTGAATAAAGATGAGAATCTTGTAGTCACATCTTATCTTCTAACACAGACTTCATTTCTTCCAGGGGAAAAGAAAATCCCCAAGTCTTTCATTATTTCCAGTATCCATAGTCATCATTTAACATGTTATTTGATTCTATGGAGTAAGTGTTATAGTTCCAAGTCACTGAAGAAATATATACCAACCAGAACTGCTAGTCACATGGTCAATTTGTTCACAAGATGTGGTTGGGACCATGTAGTACCAACAATAGAGCTCAAGGTCTTGGTCATGCCAAACAAATGTTCTACCACTGAGCTACAACTCCAGCCTTGTTCTGGTATCTTTTAACAACAGACACTCTTACGGAAAACAAAAAGGATTTATTTGTAAGGTTTCCTGTTCCTGAGGTGTAAGTATTCCATGCCTGGCTGGTCACATATCATTTTTTTTCTTTTATTTATTTTATTTTACAATACTATTCAGTTCTACATAACAGCCACAGATTCCCTTGTTCTTCCCCTTTCTGCCCCCCTCATACCATTTTTTAATTTCTGTGTTGTATATTATTTCAATCATAGCTGATTTCAGGTTAAATGCAAGATCTCAGGGCAAGAGCTGGTAAGAGATCTGAAAAATTGGGTTTTGTGAGCTGAGTGTTTACCATGAGTTTGTCATGATGAGTTCTTGAGGGTGCCTCTTAAAGTGTGATGTAAGCTAGACACAATAGCAAATTTCAGCAATCCCAGCAGTTGGAATGCTAAGGCACATATAAGAGGGATATGTACCAAGACCAGTTACAGGGCTACAGAATGCCATGTGGCACTAAGCTTTAACTAAATATTTGTTTGTTTGTTGTTGTTATTGTTTTAAGGGAAAAGGAAAAAATGACATTTAACAAGAACTGGATGTACTTACAAGAAGCTTGACTTGTAAAAAGTGATACCACACCAAAAAAATATACATGATTGATCGTCACATCTTAAAATGTTTCCATGAAATTTAGTTAGTGCTCAAGCCCTTATCATGAGTTAAGGAAAATCCAAATACATTGAACTTAAATGTGTCCTTATGACTAAGCTTATTTTTATGTCTTGTCTTTTCCACTCTGGAATAGGCTCCTGTTCTGAAAAGCTGTGGATGTGTTTGTTTTTGGTTTCGAGTGTATCTACTCTCCAGTAGCTACTTGTTGAGTCACACTTTCCCAAGGGTGCAATTCACACCC